AATATAACTGTCATAGGTTTTTTAACAATAAAGGAAAAAAAGGTCAAAAACCTAAACCAAAGAGAGAGTGGAACTTCTACCACCCCGACTCTGGCTCCTTGGTACTGAACAGCCAGTTATATCCCCAAACCCCCACCCAAGAAACAAGGGAGATTAAAGAAAAGGAAACCCCACTCCTTATCCCAAACCAGGTAACAAAATAGGCTCCCTTTCCTACTCCCCCAAAAGGCTTTGGGGAGAGGCCATTTCTACCGAGTCTTTCCATGGAACCCCTTCCAGGGCTCAACCCCACTCCTAGGTACTCTGTAGGTTCACTCCTCTCTGGTTTGTCCTCCTGGGATTCTTTCTTTTATCTAAAGCAAAAAGTCCAAAGTGCGTTTCAGCTGAATGTAAGGACAGGAAAGGGCTCCCAGGCAGGATCAGGTTGGCAGCCCCAGCCCGCCCCTCCTGGGTACGAGGCCTCAGGACGGCATGCACTGCACCCGGTCAGGGCCCTCCTCCTCGTCCGATGTATCTGAGGAACTGGGAGACTCATCAGAGTCTGCATCTGTGGCCCCGACCCCAGGATCTCGCCAGCGCTGTAGAATGGGAAAGGCTTGTCAGTAACTTTCCTGAACGACAAACCTGTTAGATCTTAGCTATATAATTCAGATACTCTAGGCCAGGGGTCAGCAGAATTTTTCTTAAAGGGCCAGACAGTAAGTATTTTAGACTCTTGGGCCATATAGCTGTTATAACTATGCAACTCTGCTGTTGTAGTGTGCAAGTAGCCACAGACAATACATAAATGAATGGGTATAGCTGTGTTCCAATAAAACTTTATTTACAAAAGCAGGCAATAAGCCAAATGCCATAGTTTACCCTACCCTAGGCCTCTTCTGGCATGAGAAGAAAAACAGTAGGGTCTCCCTGAGACTTATTCCTTCTCAACTCCTTCCCCACCCTCATGACCTTGTCTTTTTTAAGACATCACTGTGCATGAATGGCAATGGAGAACAAAAAGCAGATGCCACCCATTTTTGCCAGTGGCTCTCCCAAGGCCACGGCAGGGCTCTGATGGGAATGCGGGACAGTGAATAGAAGCCCAACCAAGACCACCCGGTTCCGCTTTAAAGCAGCGAGGAAGTGTGCACTAGAACCTGGGAGCTCCCTTCCCACTCCAGCTTACCCGGTGATGGCGTCTCTGTCTCAGGTGATGCATGAGGAACCAGAGCATGTGGCTATCAAACAGGTCAGTGTGGTGCAAGCTATCTTCATCCCGTTCCCGCTTGTTCTTCTTAATCACCTGGAGCAAAAAAGGGTTAGGGACATGGGAGTATGTAATGAATGGGGACCCTGGACCTGATCAGAAAAGGCTGGTGTTCTAGCCAATAAAGACTTCCCTTAGAGCCGTGAAGCTGAAGTAGAGCTAGATTAGATTAGGAAAGGGTGCCCAGGTCCATCCACTGACAAGGTGGAGACTTTAAATAGAATGATTCTTCCTAAAAAATGTCCCCTGCCCCCACTCTAGCACGAGCCAGAGGCACTTCAAAGCTTCGCGCCAGACTGGGACTGTTCCTAGAGAGGCAGGGACAGACACGCGGGGGAGAGGGGTTAGAGCAGTGCTTTTGAATAACTGGGCAGCAAATTATTCCTTCCTATGACAACGAAGAACTTTTGCAATCAGCTACTTACATCCTTTAGCCCTATAAGCTCAGTAGAAGCTTCAGCTGTGGGTGCCCAGATCTTGACATCATGGTCCAGGCCGCTGGTTGCCAGCACAGGCAAGTGAGGGTGGGGCTCAAGACAGTTTACCTAGTCAGGAGGAGAGGAAAGCTCAGGCTCAGGGGTATGGAGGAATATGGTTTCAAAACCACTACTCACCTTGAGCCAAATCACTATCCCTGAGCAAGGCTGAGTAGCTACTGGAAAGGCAGGCTCACCCATTATGAGGCTAAGCCAGAGCCCTGGAGGTAAGAAACTCTGGCACAGACTGGGTAAAAGACCAGGCCCATTTCTCATTTCCTATGTATAGGCAGGGGTGGCCTCATCCCCAGAAATAGCCCTAGAGGTGGGCAAGTGACTGGCCACGCTTAATGCTGGCTTCAAAAAAAGGCAATGAGGTCCAGATAATTTCATTCACTATACATTCCACAGCTCCAACTCACCCAAGACTGGAAAAAATCATCTCAGGGGCTTTCACCAAGTGGCAAATTTAAAAACAATGAAGAAAGCAGCAGAGAACAGTCAAAGATGTGGCACCGTTTACTCGAACTGGAGGAAGGCATAGGCTAGGAAGAGGCTGAGGTGGGGAGTGGTGGGGTAATGGAGGTACATTCATGTCTGCTTGGGAACCCTGCACATTTCAGGGGACAGCATCCTGATACCTGCCCTAAAAACACAGGAGGGCTAGCTCTAGGGTGGCCGAGGATACCAGAGCAGCTTCTTAGGGCAGCCATAGCCTCAATCTCAACCACCCTCTAGTTGTACTCATTGAGCAGGAGAAATAAACTAGGGCAGGCAGACAGGCCTCTGGCTTAGGCAGCTTCCTCCTGTCCAAGGCCCCCCTGCCCCCTGCTGTCTGACTTGGAAACTTCAGCCTTCCGAACAACAGCAGGGCAGCTCCCATGCCCATTAGAAGTGCTGGTGCAGATGTAGCTGCTAAAACATTTTCAGCCTTTTAGTCAGGTGAAGACTAGACAGGAAAGGCACCAAGAATGAAGGTGTGTGTGGTCCTAGCCATGACTCCTCTCACCCCACCCAGGCTTGCAGCCACCCTATAGTCCAAGAAGTCAACCCCTGGCAAAAAGTCTCTCTCTGGCCAGAACCGGTTTGGCTCAGTGGATAGAGCGTTGGCCTGCGGACTCAAGGGTCCCAGGTTCGATTCCGGTCAAGGCCATGTACCTTGGTTGTGAGCACATCCCCAGTGGGGGGCGTGCAGGAGGTGGCTGATTGATGTTTCTCTCTCATCGATGTTTCTGGCTCTCCTATCCCTCTCCCTTCCTCTCTGTAAAATATCAATAAAATATATTAAAAAAAAAAAAGTCTCTCTCTGTTCTCTGGACCAACCTCCTCTGCCTCATCTGACCTTGCAGAACAGATGAGGGTAAGCTGGGGCCAGCATGGAAAATAAAACTGACATACAGACTTCTAATCTTCTTTTGTTTTATATTTACAAATAAAAAAAATGCTCAGTAAAGAGCCTAAGAGTAAAGTAGAAACCCATTTCCCTTCTTTGCACTCCGTGTATCAGCACACTGCACTTTCTATTTGGGCTCCTTCAGCTAGTGTGTAAGAGGTTCCAGCATCTAGAACATGAGGAGGCACTAGATAGAAACTCCAATGCCCAGGAACATTACCAAAAGCTAAATGACAGCTTATACACAAACCTTGAATTCACTGATCTTACCTTGTAAGTCCCTCTACTCTGACCTGGCTCTGCTTGAACAAGTCAGTAAATTTAAAAAGCACAGGGTTCTTGAGAAATTCCTTGGAACTTAAGACTAAGGACAAAGCCAATGGCAAAAGAAATAACAGATAAATTACACTACAGTACTCAAGCTGGAGCCTGCTGAAGGAGCCAATAGTTTCTGGACCAGGATACCTGAGCACTTCACCAGACCTTGCCTGAATGCCAAGACTTATCTGGTCAATAATGCCTGAGCAGAGAAAGGAGCTCTGGCCTTAGTTGTCCTTTGACATCACCCCCAACCCTTGTCCTTGAATGGGAACAAAGCAAGGACTAGAGTTTGAGGCAAAAACAGAGTCAAGAGACCTAGGCAAATGTGGACGATCATTTCTAAGATCCCTTCTGGTTCTAATATTCTACTTGACAATACAGACCTGCTATCAGTCTGCATTGAGGCTGGTGCCTGGTGACCCCACTGCTGGGAGTTTAAGACAAAAAAAAAAAACAGAGGAAGCCAAGTGAGAACCATATGAATCATTCAGCTTGCAGAGGTGAGAATAAGCCAGGAAACACACTGTAGGTCTAGTCCCTCACATGACCACCCAAACACAAGCAATTACCCTCTTCATCTGGGCACCTAGATTAATCATCAAACCCTAAGAGTGGCTGAGCTGAAAGCAAATTGGCCTGAGAAGTGATTTTGGAGAATAGACAAGCGCAGCTCTGCATCTCTGGAACGGAATTCAAGACAACAATTTATAATCAAGAAAGGATTCACTGGCTAGCGCAGCTCTGCATCTCTGGAACGGAATTCAAGACAATTTATAATCAAGAAAGGATTCACTGGCCCCTTTTGACTTCCTTCTGACTACATGCCTGTTATAGAATTCTCATTAAGACTCCATTATTTTGGGTTTGTTCATTGCAGATGAGAGATGAGGACTTAAGAGTAGAAAATAAAGCAGGCGGCCTAGCAGGTTTGGCTCAGTGGATGGAGCGCCGACCTGGGGACTGAAGGGTCCCGGGTTCGATTCCAGTCAAGGGCACATGCCTGGGTTGCGAGCTCAATTCCCAGTGGGGGCGTGCAGGAGGCAGCCAATCGATGATTTTCTCATCACTGATGTTTCTATCTCTCTCTCTCTCTCCCTTCCTCTCTGAAATCAATAAAAATATATTTTTAAAAAATAAAGAAAATGAAGCAGGCAACAGACACTCCTTCAAGTTCTAGATTCCTCTTCACTTATACTCAGGCCATAGAAGTCTTGAATATCTACTGGTTCTAGGTCCAAAAAATTTACAGGAAACCAGAAGAAAATCTCAAATAGCCTCACACCAGGGCAAGAAACACACAGAGGAATGGGGTCCCGATTGCAAGAAACTATTCTAAATTATAACACCACTCTCTGGGTAAACCTCATCAAAGGATGGCTGGGCTCTTTGCAGCTCTCCACAGCTCAGAAGGATGAAAAGGAAGAGAGACTAAGCTGACCAGCCATTCCTTAGAGGCTCTTAACCAGACTATCTTGGGTAACCAGTATAATGTAGTCTCCCAAACAGTCTCGCTCATATCTTCTGCAGTCCAAAAACCTTACAATAGAAAGCTATTCAACTTCTTTGTGACTCTGGGTCTTAAAAAAGAAAAAAATATATATGGTTAGCCAGATACATCTTAAGCTGACCACGCTTCACTCCCCAACTCAGGATCCTCATGCTTCCTTTGTGCCCTATCTCTATGGAGGTTGTCTGGAGAAGTCAAAGGACAAGCAGACTGATGTGATCATGGTTTGTAAAGCAGGCTGCCCAGTCATTATTTAAAAAAAATTTTTTTGACCATATTTGTTCTCTCACATATGTTGTGTGTTTGTAGCCATTTGAATATAAGCATGACACTTCACACTTAAATACTTAATATGTATCTCCTAAGTACAAGGATATTATAAATAGAATGCTATCACCACATCAAATAAATTTAACACTGAATGCTATTTATCTAATATACAGACCTTTTTTCTGATTTTCCCAATTATCTGAAAAATGCTCCTTCCAACTTATATCCACTGATCCAGAATCTAGCTAAGATCACTACTTAGCTCCTGGTAAGGGATGAGACATAGAGACCTCTTTGGCATTATATAGGAAGGTACCCACTCAACTTTCATGCTTTCCTTTTGCAAAAGGTCCATGCCTAGAGATACCTCACTCAGGCCAGAGGTTCTTCCCTAAGATCCATTTCTCTTTTCAATAAGCCATGTCTTACAGGGGCAAAAGATAGGAAAAGCAAGAAAATACCCTATCAAAATCTCAGCTCTCCCAGACCACACTGTCTTTTAGCTGGCCAGCCCTCTAAGACATGGTATCATGTCGTCACAGTGAGAATTCAGAGGCCCTGCCAAAACCTACCTTAATGACTGGAGAGAGTAGGGAGCCCACCAGCACATCATACTCACCACGCCTCCCTTGTCCCCCTCCATGAACTGAATGATCTGGCAGGATGATTTCTCCCAGAGGAAGATATGCCCGCAGTCACTACCGCTCACCACAAACTCACTCTTGGGGCCATAGAAATTGACGCCTTTAACTGAAATGATAAATGAGGGAATAAACCACATGACGGTTGGCATCAGGCCTATACATATTTACCTCAGAAGGAATTTAGTCACAAACTCTAAAACAGCTAAGAGCCAAAGAGTGCCTTTCATTTTCACAGAACTATCAAGGGAATACATATGTATAATAGTCATAACAAGAATCATGCCAGTCCCTGAGACTATTTCTATTGTCCCAAAGAGACCCAAGGGCTGAGGAGTTGGCAGTCCCTAGCAATAGTCTAAGTCTCATCATTCCACACCCTTTCAAGCAACCACAGGCCTCACTAATGCCTTACTGTCCCAATCTGAATCACCCCAGCTCTGCCTACTCCTAGACAGCTCTGTCCTAGGCCCTAGGATTTTCTTGGGGTGTATACTTCATTGGTACCTTGTCAACACTTCCTTTCATCAGCTGACCTGAGACTGATGGAGGTACACATCACTACTGCCTAAAGCAGCATCTAACTGTGCTTGTTACCATGCCTCTGCACAACGGGGCTCCACTCTCTCAAGTTAGTGAAAGAAGCCAGGAGTCCCAACTACGACGCCAGTCTTTACCAGAAATGGGACTGGCCCTCCCTCTGTCTGGCCATGGACTAAGATCCAAGTACAGGTTTTCCATCTCTTCTCACCAGCTCAAGAGAAAAAGGAAAACTAACTGCTCTCTCCAAATCAAAATTATGACAGATATCTGTTAGGCATAGTAACAATAACGAAGAGCAGTGATTCCCCAATTTTCCTGTACATTAGAATCATGTAAAGGGCTTTTAACATCCCAATCGGGTCACATCCCTTACCAATTGCATCAGAATGCCTGGGGTTGGGAGCCAGGCACCGGTACTTTTAAAAGACTATCACATGACTCCACTGTGCAGCAAAGAACAAGACAGAACAAAAAAGGACAAACTCTATTACAAACTTGGGCGAGGTACTACACCATTCCTCCTCCTCTGCCTCATTCAAAAGAATCACTTCCTCCTCCTCCACTCTAGAAGTACAGAGTCACCCTCTTTTAGGCAATCCAGTACCACTGACTGAGGAGGGCTTTCCCAGACTTCCTTAACAAGCCTTTGAATCCTGAGGTTAACTGAAACCATAAGAAAAATAGTCCAGTCTCCTTATGCTCAAACCAAATAATTGCAGCGATGAGAGATGCCCCCAAACCCTCTCTCCTCTAGCAAAGTAGGCCCGCGACAACTCCAGCCCAATTAGGGATCCTCTCCCACAGCCCTCAGTGGCAGGCAGTCTACTCCTATAGGTAGTTCCTATTTGCATAACCCAAATGAAACACTGGTTCTCCAAGCCAGCAGACTTGGCTACAAAAACCTAGAAAGACAGCCTCACCTGTGGCGTTATTTCTGTGGCCCTTATATCTCTTAACATACTGGGCCCCATCACTGTGAGAGGAGTTGAAGAGATAAATGTCTTCATCGTTGTAACTGGCCAGGAGCTCTGCCAAGAACAAGCACACAGCAGTGAAGGCAAAGGCTGAAAAAAAAGTTGGGATCGGGAGCTGGGGGTAGGGGTGGGGCTTCTTGCCAGTAGTGCCCCCTCCTAACACCCATGTATATTAACACCCATCTTACTCAGTTGGAACAGCAGGCAAGTCAGCTGTCTCAAGCAGACTGGGAACATGCTGCCACACAGAGGTAGCAGAATGCTCAAGATCACACCCATTAACTCAGGAACAAGTCAAGTCTTAAGCACCTGCTCAGGCATGTGGTCTGGACTTCAGGACAGGCCCTGTCAAATCTCATCTGCAGCATTCCACAAGTGTACCTGGCATCTCCAAGGGTCATCTGCTGCATCCTCCCACTGTGTGCTCACCATCAGCAACTACTTGGAGCTCTAGCACAGTGGTGAGCACTACAGGGCACATGCCTCATTGTTCAGCAGCTTCCTAGACAGAGGGGGCATGCCAGCCTAGGAGCTGGGCCCTGCTCACGTACCTGTGCCGTCGTGGCTGTACACAAGACAGGTGATGTTTGCTTTGGACTCACTGTTCACCTGCAATAAGGAGCAGATACTGACTGATGCCCTACCCCCACCCCCCATTTGTTATACCATCTTCAGGAAAAAGGTTTTCCTTCAAACTCCCCTAATGGTCTCCCAGAGATTGAGAGAAAGAGACAGAGAGAGGACTACAACCGATGAGATGTAACCATCTCTGGGGGAGAGGACTTTCTGTTGGCTATCTTCTGTGTGCTAGCCACTTTATATATTCGTTGTCCAATGAGCCTTACCATCATGGCACAAGGCATTTACGTCTATGTTGTCAGTAAGAAAACTGACCAACAGAGGTGAGGTGACTGCCCAAGATCACAAGCTGGTAAGTGGTGGAGCCAGGATTCAAATCCAGGTGTCTGATTCAAAAGTCCAAGCTCTTCCCACTATACCAGTAAGTTTGGGAGTAGCCTTGGGGTCGAGTCAGGGAAGCCTAGAGCCACTGGCCTTCATGACTCTTACCAGGTGATGAGGACAGAATTTCTTGAGTACTCCATTGTTTTCATTCTCATCAATTTTCCTCTGGTCATAAATCCTATGGTGGGAGAAGCAATGAAAATGTCAAAAACTTACTCTCTCCTTCCTTCATTCCCATCAAGCACCAAACTATCTTCACCTTCCCTAATCTCTCCAATTCAAACTTTAATCATTCATTCAAATGTTTATGACACAAATCACATCCCAAGTATTATGCTAGGTGCTGAAAATACAGTGAAGAACAAGATCACATCCCAAGTATTATGCTAGGTGCTGAAAATACACCCTAGCCCTAGCCGGTTTGGCTCCGTGGATAGAGCGTTGGCCTGCGGACTGAAGGGTCCAGGTTTGATTCAGATCAGGGGCACATGCCTGGGTTGAGGGCTTGATCCCCATTGGCAGGGAGGGAGGTGATGATTTTCTCTCATCATTGATGTTTCTGTCTCTCTCTCCCTCTCCCTTCCTCTCTGAAATCAATAAAAATATACTTAAAACACACACACACACACAAAGCTCCAATGTCCACACCCATCATTCTCCTTCAATCTCAGAGCCTCCACAGCTGCTCTTAATCTCGTTCCTCCAATAACTCTGGTGATTACTCCATTCTTAGCCTCTTCCTCATCACTGTCTGTCCATTTTCTAAAAATTCTCCTTCTACTGATTGTCCTTTCCTTGGAGTCAAATTATGAAAAGAGTAATCTACATTCAATATTTTCACTTCCTCACTTCCTATTCACTTCTCAAACCATTCCCACCTAGCTTTGGCCCTCAACTCACCACTGAGCTCCTCTGGCTAAAGTCATCAGTAACCAAATTGCCAATGCCAACCGGATACTTTTCAGGCCTTCCTCTCTTGTCCTGACATGTTCATTACTCCTTCACCTAAAATACATTCTTTCCTTGATGTCCAACCACTCCTCAATGTTGTTCATGGGCCTGTCTTTCTTTGTCTATCCCTTAAATATTGACCTTCCACAGAGGTTTAGTCTTAAGTTCCCTGACTCTATATAAGGAAATTTTAACCTAGCATCTTAGTAGTATGTGAACATCCAGAAACTGTACTTATGTTTATTTTCCAGGGAGAAGGGATCATAGTTCTCCGTATATTCTCAAAGAGGCCAGAGATTCAAAGTGAGGTGGGGGAGAGAAGTCTGATCAATACTTTCCATTAGTGATCAAATTCCATTATCAATGCTTTCACTATCTTCTACGAACACGTCTCATAAACCTGAATCTCCAACCCAAACTTATTCTGAGATCCAGATTTATATCTATGTGCCAACTGAAGTTATAGTGAGATGCCCAAGAGTAAACTCATTCTTTCTTCTAAAATTAAACTCATTCTAAACTTACCCTTTCCCCTAAATCTGTTAATGGCATTATCCTGAATTTAAGTGACCAAGCTAGAAATCAAGTACTTTCTCTCATATAGAACTAATTTCCTTCCTGTCAATTAGATTCCCTGGGTGAATTTCTTAACTATATCTACTTTCTCCACCCTTAATCAAATTTTGCCTACGTGATATGTAGAATCCTTCTAAACCAATTTCCTTGCTTATACTGTCTCCAGTTTGGAATTATGTCTAAAATGCAAAATTTTATTTTTTTTTAAAATATATTTTATTGATTTTTTACAGAGAGGAAGGGAGAGGGATAGAGAGTTAGAAACATCGATGAGAGAGAGACATCGATCAGCTGCCTCCTGCACATCTCCCACTGGGGATGTGCCCGCAACCCAGGTACATGCCCTTGACCGGAATCGAACCTGGGACCTTTCAGTCCGCAGGCCGACGCTCTATCCACTGAGCCAAACCGGTTTCGGCTAAAATGCAAAATTTTATATAAATTTCCTGCTTAATTATCTTTAGTGGTTTTGTGCTTTCTACTAAAAAAAAAGTCTAAACTCCTTAGTATGGCTGCCTACTACTTCTCAAAGATCCCATACATTATACAAAACAACAAACAAAGACGACGCTTCCTTGAACATACCATGTCACATCTTGTTATCTCTAAACATACTGTCCTCTCTACCTGAAATACTAATTCCCCATTTGTCTTTAATGCTTCCTCAGTGGAATGGTTTTTACTACATTTAAGGAGTCTGATCTGAGTTCAAATACTAACTCTGCCACTTACTAGATGAGTAATACTGGGTATATTAGTTCATATTTGTAATCCTTACATAGGTTTCTTCAGAATCCTTTCTGAAGGCAGAGACTGTCTAAGTATGTATCTAGCACACGGCAGGTATTCAGTAAATGATAGATAAATGAATCAATATATGCTTATATTCTCAACAATCTCTTGCTTAATATCCTGCAAAAAGAAAATATCCAGGAAATGTTTGCTAAATGAACCAGAGAAAGAAAAAAGGAATAAGGCCCTGGCCGGGTAGTTCAGTTGGTTAGAGCGTCATCCCAATATGCCAAGGTTGCGGGTTTGATCCCTTGTCGGGTACATACAAGATTCAACCAATGAATGCATAAATAAATGGAAAAACAAATCTATGTTTCTCTCTCTCTCTCTCTCTCTCTCTCTCCCCCCCCCCTTTCAAATCAATAAATACAAAAATTAAAATAAAAAAGAGGAGATTGTTGTATTACCAATTACTACTCTTCAGCAAATGTATATTACCTGCTAATCAAATTGTTTTCTTTCTATATTAAGTCTAAACACAGCTCTCAAATGTCACTAAGCCATCATAAACTTCAGCAAGTCAGTAAATTAGTAAAAAATGTTTAATATTTGGTTGTGTGAGCTATTCCATGTTCCTTGGTATCTAACACTCTTTGTCCTCCTTCTTCATGGGGAAAGCCTTATTACCTTTCTTCCCCTTTCCTATAAATAATATTAATTTCAGAATATAGTTACAAAATGTGATCTCATTGAAAGAAGATAATGATTTTCATCCACCATCAGGAAAGGAAAACAAAGTCACTCAATTCTCTAGGGATCCCTTCTCCTCCTCCTTTTCAAACTGATAATCCCTCAGCAACAAAAGAAATATAGAGTTAAAATAGGCCAATTGGATAGGGATGGAGTACAGTTTATGGCTAAGGGCCAGAAGGGAACTAATTAATATACCTGGGGATTGAATCCATGAAGTCCATTTTCCTTAGGATATATACCTACCTTAATAGCCAGTGTTACAACAGATATTCACAGTAACAAAAATATCACTACAAAGAAAAATGGTTCAAGACAATGGAAGCCAAAAAGTTCTGAGTTCACACCAAGTACTCCGAAGTCAAATCATTTCTGTATCATAAACCAGCATTCAAACTTCTAGTGCATGTTAACTTATATATGAAAATGGTGGGGGTTATTTACTAATACAACACTTGGGATTATGCCTTAACTGCTACGTGGGAACCTTGGTCAATTCATCCAAGTTCTTTAAAACTTGATTATTCCTATGGTAAACCATCCCTCAGAGACTGTCACATTAGGGAGCAGAATACCCACCAGGAGCTAAACTCTTTTGGAAGAGAGTAAAAAACTCAAGATGGTGGCTAATGGATTCCTAGGCAATTCATACCTTTCCATAGGGACACCTGATAGTACAAAATGCATCAGAGGCTCAAACTCTTTTCAAAGACACAGAAAAGCCACAGACTCACCTTACAAACTGATCTCGTCCACCCACTGCAAAATGGTGAGTATTGGCAGGATTTACATAGATTGTATACAGCCCCACTTTCTTCTCTTTCTCTTTTGTCACCACCAGCTTCCTTTAAGAGTAGAAAAGCATAAAAGTTATATTCTCCCAAAGATACAGATGGTCATGGCAAATGACAGCAGAGAGAGTAATGTTTGTTTTGAACATAAGACAAAAACCCCCTACCCATATATTTACTAAATGCTACTTTGGAGATGGAAAAAAAAATGTAGTGAAGTCATTTTTCTGGTGTTCCTCAAGAAGTATAAGTTAAAGGTATATGGAAGTATTGTTCCTCAGGTAGTTCTCAGGTTAGCTGGAATCCAATATGATAACCTAACATTAAACAGACAATACTATCCACATCTTCCCATCTTTCATTCATAAATACATATTCCATATCACCTGGGAGCAGGGAATGAGTGGAAGATGAATCACAAAACAGTGGACAGAAAAGACCTTAAGATCAGAATCTATCTCCTAGATTCCAGAAAAGTGTCACTTAAAATCCAGTGTTTAAAATGCACACAGTAGCCCTGACCAGTCTGGCTCAGTGGATCAAGCACTGGCCCTCAGATGGAAGGGTCCTGGGTTCATTGGTCAAGGGCACGTACCTCGGTTGCAGGCATGATCCCAGACCCTGGTCAGGGCACATGTGGGAGGCAACCAATTGATATGTCTCTCTCATGTCAATATTTCTCTGTCTCTCCCCCTCCCTTCCACTCTTTCTAAAATTCAATGGAAAAATATCTTTTGATGATTAAACAAAATAAATAAAAATGCACACAGAATGACAAGCCAGTTTTCTAGCACAGAAGCAATCCAAACGAAACAGCATTCTTCTTCCCTTATCTGAAGTAAATTAGGAGAGGAGATTCTTATGAAGATAGAGCTGTTTTATATATTTTTTTTTCTTTAGAGTTAGCATATAATATGTTAGTTTCAGATGTACAACTCCATGATTAGACATTTATATAACTTACAAAGTGATCATGCTGAAGATAGCGGTGTGGTTTTTTAAAAAATATATATTTTATTGATTTCAGAGAGGAAGGGAGAGGGAGAGAGAGACAGAAACATCAATGATGAGAGAGAATCACTGATCGGCTGCCTCCTGCACACCCCCTACTGGGGATCGAGCCCGCAACCTGGGCATGTGCCCTTAACCGGAATCAAACCCAGGACCCCTCAGTCCGCAGGCCAATGCTCTATCCACTGAGCCAAACCATAGTGGTTTTTAAATCTGGAAAAAAATATCTAAATTATTCGTCTGGTTGTACCACCAAAAAAAGGGGATCCTTAGCAGGGCTTCTAGCTCTGAGGAAATACTATGAAATTTCAGTTTTACCCAGAAGATTCTGGCTTTTAGCCATAATCTGTCCCACCTTAAGGGTAGCACTATGAATCTTCTTCCCAGATCTCAGTATCCAACCAGTCAAATGTGACATCATAAAGATTAGTAAATTTACAGAAAAGGAAAGACATGAAAGGAAAGAACTGGGCTTTAGCTTTTGTTTTTAATCTAAGCTTTTGCTCATTTCTGTTGCTATGGAAACTGAAAGAAATATAATCATGACAACCAGTTTTTTGTAAAGAAATGATTTTTAGCATCCCCTCAGCCAAGACCTGCTCTAGGCAAAGTGGAGAGATTGTACTTGCTTTGAAAAATCTCTGCAGTCTTCCATTAAAAGAATAATGTACAGAGGTCATTAAAAAGGAATGTCATTAGGGAAAACACACACACCCTCAAAAACACTAGGCAGAAAACATATCAAGGGTTTCAGGAACCCACTAGCAATGGAGAAGAGATGGTGTTAATTGGGTTTCTGACAGGGAAAAGTAGCTGCTCCTTTTCACAGGACTATCTTATTTCCTCAGCAATTTGGATTTTCAAAAGGGTCAGGCAAATATAAAGGTTGCCATGTGGAAGCAAAATGAAGAAACTGTGAGGATTAATTATAAAGTACTGGCTCTACTGTCATGTAATCCTGACAGAGCTTAATCTTTCTATCTTGCAATTTATTTACTTAAACAATTCTCTCTCCCAATGGATAAATGCACAGAGTACCTTGAGCTCTCTGGAGAACATGTAATGGTGCTATAAAAATGATTAATCAGCCCTGGCCGGGTGGCTCAGTTGGCTGGAGCATCATCCGGTACACCAAAAGGTTGTGGGTTCCATTCCCAGTCAGGGCACACATATGGGAAGCAATGGATCAATGTTTCATTCCCACCCTCCCTCCTTCCCTCCCTCCCTTTCTCTCTCTCCTCTCTCTCTTTCTCTCTCTCTCTCTCTCTCTATCCCCCCTCACCTCTCTAAAAATCAATAAGAATATATCCTCAGGTGAGGACAAAGATTAATTATGGCAGAGGGAAGCAGCATACAAAAGAAACCATATGAAACAAATCCACCAAGTTTTGTCTTCAAATTTACAACTTTTTATTTATTTATTTTTTTTTAACTTTTGGGTTTACTAATTTTTTTTTTTTAAATATATTTTATTGATTTTTTACAGAGAGGAAGGGAGAGAGATAGAGAGTTAGAAACATCGATGAGAGAGAAACATCGACCAGCTGCCTCCTGCACATCTCCTACTGGGGATGTGCCCGCAACCCAGGTACATGCCCTTGACCGGAATCGAACCTGGGACCTTTCAGTCCGCAGGCCGACGCTCTATCCACTGAGCCAAACCGGTTTCGGCGAATTTACAACTTTTTAAAGAGCAGGTATGTTCCAGCAAAAATGGAAAGATAATTACAGATCAGACCAAAAAATTCCTTTGAGGAGTATCTCAAACTGGCTTCCAGTAGCCAAAGGAATATTTACCCACAGCTCCAAATGCAACTCTTTTCCTAAGATGGTAGCTAATTTCACCAGCTTCCAGAGATTCAACTATCATACAGGATGGGGCAAAAATAGGTTTACAGTGTGAGTACCCAAAACACAGTTTATTCTTGTATTATTATTTACTAATTATTGTATTATTTTCAATACAAACAAGTATATACCTACTTTTGCCCCACCTTGTATATACAAAAAAGAAAAATTCCCCTATGCCAACTTCACACAACAGTGCCTGGCCATGACCTTCACATTCAGCCTCCCACCTCATTCCAGCCTTCTACTTGTTCTTCAATCTCTAAAGCAAAACCTTTTTGAAGGCTCACTGTATCTTATTCCCCAAATCCAGAATTTGGGCATCCTTCTACGTGAAGTTTCTCTTATATTCCCCTTTTTAGTTCCTATCCCACCTATCATTTAGATCAGCGGTTCTCAACCTGTGGGTCGAGACCCCTTTGAGGGTCGAATGACCCTTTCACAGGGGTCAGCTAAGACCATCGGAAAACCCATATATAATTACATATTGTTTTTGTGATTAATCACTATGCTTTAATTATGTTCAATTTGTAACAATGAAAATACATCCTGCATATCAGATATTTACATTACGATTCATAACAGTAGCAAAATTACAGTTATGAAGTAGAAACGAAAATAATTTTATGGTTGGGGGTCACCACAACATGAGGAACTGTATTAAAGGGTCGCGGCATTAGGAAGGTTGAGAACCACTGGTCTAGATCCATTGGTCATCTCTCAGCTAGATTTTCTGCTATCATTTCATCCCAAATTCAGTGACTTCCCAAAGCTGAGTACTCTGCTCATTACTAGAACCAGATTCCCAATTCCTTATGGCCTAACAATACTTTTCCTCTCACCTTGATCCATAGGATAAGATCTCATGCTGCTTCACAACTCTTCACCAGAGCAGACCAAACAAATTCATATTATTTTTTGCATCTTTGACCTTCCCCTCCCCTCTTGAAAACTTGCTAACGTTCCATTATCATCACAGCACTTCAGAACTGAAAATAACAAAAATCATTCAGTTCAAGAGACTGAATTATTTTCTCAACGCTAAATAACTGCAGGCTAGCACTGGAAGGCAGATCCCTTCGACCCAGTCCTGTTCCTTTTCCAGTATAAGCCAAATAGTTCCCAACCCTCATCCTCTTGAAGGTTTATATAAATAACTAGTATCTCTATTCTGTAAGCCTAAAACATTTCTATCATTTAAATAGTTTTTGAGACTCTTCCACAATCAAGACAACTTTTTCTATACTTATGTCTAATAATAATCAGCCTTAAGAGTATATTCCCTAAATTAATTTATACTATTTTACTTGTATACTATATAAATCAGTGACATACATCCCTTAATTTTAGTATTAACATACAAGATTTGTTATGATTTTTAAGACTAACAAGACAATAACTAATCTAGATAACTCATCAACAAGGTCATGGTTAAATGAACTGTGGTATGCCATGTTATAATGTATATGTCATGGTTAAAAAATAAGGTAGGGCCCCAGTTGGTTTGGTTCAGTGGATAGTCGGCTTGCGGACTGAAGGTCCCAGGTTCAATTCCAGTCAGGGGCACACACCTGGGTTGCGGGCTCTATCCCCAGTAGGGGGCGTTCAGGAGGCAGCCGATCAATGATTCTCTCTCATCATTGATGTTTCTCTCTTCCTCTTCCTTCCTCTCTGAAATCAATAAAAATATATTTTTAAAAAATGAGGTAGGCCTTTATGGTCTGACAGGGAAAGATTTCCAAAATACAGCATAATATGAAAAAAGCAAACTGCAGACATGTTTCTATATTAATTATCCTACTTATAGGGAAAAGTATACAAAAAGGATTGCATAAAAGTATACATATTAAGACACACAAAAGTTACAAAAAGGTTTGGAAAGGTATTTAAAATTGTTAACAATGATTACCAACAGCCAGAAAAGTGGGCACCAAGGGAGGTGTGCATGAGGGAGCATTTTGTCTGTATATTTTTTATTTGAATTTCCTGTGTGTGTATGCGTGTGAGAGAAACACACACACACACACACACACACACACACACACACACACAGACTGCCTGGAGCCAAACAAGATGCTATGATATCACACAGCTGAAAAAATATAATTTACCCAGGAGCTCAAACTGATGTAAAAAGGAGCTGTAATATGATGGAGTTCTATATATACCAATATTTCTGTTCAAAATTTATCATTTGTTTACATGTTTTGATACGTAATTAAATTGAAACTACATAGGACCGTATCTCTAAGCCTCTTTGTAGAGTAATATGCTTCTTGTGGGTAAGCTGAGTGGTACACAAGAGAATCAACAGTTATTAAAGCCCACATATAATAAGATAACTGAACTCTGCTTTAGAAACAAAAAGAGTGAATGGCACTTCACTTCTGAGGAACAGACAAATAGCAACAAAGTAAGGAATTCCTAAACCCTAATCTGCTTCTCATAGGAACAAAGGGACCATTCTGATGGACCAGAGAACTGAGTATTACCTATGCCATGTGGAGTATTTTCAAGGCCAAGAGAGCCAGTTCTGTGAAAGGACTACTAGCTTACTTACGAAGCTGGCCGGTCTTGTCTGAGATCAATGGTGAAGACAACTGCATCTTCACCTGCAGATAGAAACGTACAAGGAGAGTCTGGTTCCAGGGCCAACTGTAGGAGAAAAAAGGGAAAGGATGAGGTTTCTAAAGATTAGAATTAGAGGTTATTTAGTTCATCCCTTTATCTTTAGAAGGGCTGCATTTAAAATGTGTCAGCAGGAAAGGTGATAATTTAATAAGCCCATCCTCTCTTGTTCTGTGTAAATTACTTACAGCTTGTTTACGCTATACAAGTCAAAAGGACAGGTAATTTGCTATTTTAACTAAGTCCCCAAGGGATTTGAACAGACAGTGATACCAAAGGAAAACATCAGAGATTAGGGCTCATTCTCAAATAAAATCAATTCCCCACCCTTAGGTGGGGAGAGAAAGGGTGCCCAAGTTTCATTTCCCTGTATCTTAGTTCTAAAAATTAGTTATCGAGTGCGTTGGAGGTACACTTAAGATTCAAAGAAATACATAGTTTTCACATTGCCTGAGCCATCTAGAACAGGATACTCCAGGTCCACCTATATATTTGCTTAGGCTTTTAAGAGCACACCCATCGTCTTTCCATGACACGAAGAACATGGTACCTACTCTGAGACTAGGCAGCTCCTCCCTGGCTGCCACCATGACTATTTGGTCTGTACTCCCAGGTCTAAATAGAGCTCCCAGCAATAGTGATCAGAGTAGAGTTTAAAGGTTTGGAAGGCATAGGAGACCTCAAGGATCTCCAACTCACTACGGTTCAGCTTAGGGGTTAAGTATAATCAATTTATATTGCATGCGCAAGATTTACAGATCTCTCAAGTACTTGCCTTCCAAGAAGTTTAGGATGGTGGCTGCTTTCTCTCCCTTCTTATGTACAAATCTTAGGACTAAAAGAAGGGAGGAAGGTAACTACATTAAATACAGATACAAGAAGACCTTGGTGAGATCCACAGAGGAGCTGAACTGCACATCCTTCAGGGCAAAGATTTACTTACCTTGTGGGACGCTCCCTTATGCTGGGCCACACGCTTCGTATTCTTGCAGCACTGGGTGGCAGACAGCTCTGCTACCCGCACCTGCCCATCACGGGCACACATGGCCAGGGTAGAATCACCACTGTTAGGAAGGAACTTTGCCTGGGGTGTTAAGAATGAAAAAAGGGACACACAAAAGAAATTCAGGAGGTGAATTTGAGAAAAAAAAATGAGAACCCCAACTCACCCCCTTTTGTTTCACGACAGAAGAAAATCTAGTTCTCCCGCTTTAACAAAATTGGTTCAAGTCTAATGTCTTCCATGAGTTAAAGGAGAGTGAGAGGGGAAAAAATTCTCTGATATAAAAGAGCATTTCAGTTGACTCTGGAAGGTTGAAGTGGTACAGGATAAGTGCTCAGGTGAACTAGGACTCTACCTACCAGGGGAGAAGAGTAAGGAAAATTTGCTACAAAGTAAATTAAAGGGATGTTGGGAAAGGAGAGAACATGCTTAGAGATAAATGGTCAGTACCAATATGATGTATTTCACTGATGAGTAAAATCTTCAGAGAATAATAACAATATTAATTATTATCAAATATTTACTAAGTACCTGACATGATTCTAACTGCTTAGTTTCTATTATTTAATCCTCATAACCCTCTGTTATTAGACCTATATGGTAGATAAATAAACTTAAGACAGAGGTTAAATAACTTGCCAAAAATCACATAGCTAATAAAGGATAGGGCTAGGATTTGAACCCAAGCAGTCTGGCTCAATAGTCTCTACTCTTACACTTATGCCTCCTCCCAGGACACATCTGATTCCTTCCTGATGATTTTTAAGCACCCTATCTATAATGAGACTTCCAACAGTCTTTACGCTCAAGGGAAGAAAAGCTTGCCATAGGCCTTTCAGTGTATTAACTCCTCCAAGGCATTATGAGAGCCAAGGTAGGACCGAGTTTGATGTCTAATTCCTACAACTTTCTACCAGCTCTCACTACAGGGAACAGCTCAGACTTGTCCAACTCATGCCTAATTTTCTCAATTGCTATTCTGCTCCCTTGCCTCACCTGGAAGACATTGCTTTTGTGGCCACTCTCAAAGTCCAGTACCGGCTGCCGCCGCACCCAGTCCCAAACCACCACTTTCAGGTCATCACTGCCACTGGCCAGCCAAGTTCCACGCTGGTTAAAGTGCAGGGTATTGACACAACCAGTGTGGCCCTCAAGCCCATGCTGCAGGCGGAAACGCTGCACAAAGACTCTTGCCCCACAAGCCTCATATACAAAGCGGGAACTTGAACCCAGTTCCCGCTCCCGAAGGGCAGGAAGGGCTTGCCAGCGAGGTCGGGGAAGGGCTGATGTCTCCGAGGACACCCAGTCCTCCAAGGCCCGCTCATCATCTGATGAGTCCTGGTCACGGTTGGCCCGCTTGCGCTGTACACGCCGCCGAGGATGCTCTTCTTCCTCCTCTTCTTCCTCATCCTCTTCCTCTGAGCGATCATGGACTTGGTTTTCATCATTGATGGAGTAATGGCCAGTGTCCTCCATGCTGTCAGAGTCCTTGTCTTCACCTGAGCTCTCTGTATCTGTGTCTCGACTTTCTGTGCTGGTGCGATTGGGGCCACCATCATCCCCGGTCAAGCTCAAGCTCAGGTCTGAGGCCTCTATTTCAATGCCTGAGGATGTCTCCCTCCCCTCTTCAGCGCCAGACATCTCCTCTGGACTGCTAGACATGCTTCCTGCATGTAAATGAAAAATGGGAAGTTGAGTGGGGGGGACAGAGAAGGAAAATGGATAGTGATTAGAAGCATTTCTCTGCCTTAGTCTAAGAAATTGTCACATCAAAAGACCCAGAAACCAACTTTGGTCAAAGTTTTCTCTGAGAGGGAATCTTGGATAAGAAATTGAAAAAACTAAGATCAAAGCCACACCCAAATAAGAGTACTTACTTCAACAGAACTGAAGAAATGGAGAACCTAAGAGTATAATAAATTCTCACAAGGCAAAGCATTGGCAAACTATATGGAAAGTATGTTTGATACCTTAGGCTCAGTTCTGCTGGATGGGCATCCATTAGTTACAGTAAATAAACTAAATATAAGAAAAAGAGTAGCTGTCCCTGCAAGAGTTGGCATGGCTATCTCTTAGAAAAAGATGGAGAAATAACTGAATAAAATCACTATGACAGTAGATAAGGAGTTAGACTATTTCCCACTACTTCCCACCTCCCAAATTCTAAACTGAAAGGTCTACTAAGAATCTAGAAGTAGAAAAGTGGGAATTATGATCATTTGAATGAGTTCTTGCTCACTTTTTGTTAATATATGTATTCTGACTTACTTCCATTAATTTAATAATTTTAATACTATTTTTAGTTATACAAACTGTTTGAGACAAAGTTCTATCAGGAAGCATACATAAACATGATAAGAAGAGCTACTACATTGATACCTGAAAAGCCAAGTTCACCATCTTCTAGGCCTGCCCTGTTGGTAGTTATAAAACTGGGTCATATTGAATGATATAATCCCCTACAATTAGACACTGTATTCTATCGAAAAGCAACTAAATTGTATTCCAATAAGCACTTGGCAATGTTCTACAGCCACAACTTCCAACCTAAGGTGAAGGTGTGAAGGAAGGGGGACTGAGGACTTTAAACACTGCGCACAGCCTTCTTTTCTTAAATAGAAATTTTATCTTGCCAGAAATAAAGGCTGTTAGGAAAGGGAGACCAACTATGGGTGATTCTGGTATGAGCTTTTCAACTCTAATACCACACTAATGTTTAAAAATTCAAAGGATTGGAGCACTTTACTGTTTATTCATCTAGATTAGAGCAGTAATTTCTGAAAATCTTTGTAGCAATGGACCCCCCCCCCCCCCCCCACTGAATTTTTATATCCAATGAACTCTTAGACAAAACCCAATACAGAAAACTGATAATGTAAGTGCTTTGGTTCAAGTAGTGACAGAAAGTTGGGAGACATAAACAGCTCTTTTCAAAAAGCACCTCAACTAAGAACTCAGTGTGAAAACAACTAGGCTACTAGGAACTTGACGATAAAGGGGAACAGTGTAGCAATTTGCTCCTATAAACTACAATTGCCAGAACTGCTACATATACTGAGAAAGATTAATAGTGTGGTTTTTGAAATGCGATTGGTTTAAGATTTGGAGCGGTGAGAAGGCATAAAATATCACACCTATCACTTCTGTGGAGAAGGAAAAATAAAAGGCCAAACGCTTAGCATTTATTGTTAAAATCATGATTAAAAAATTAAGACAATTTTGGGGCTCTTCTATCACATCAACATAAAGGCCAGAGCATACCACAAGCTCAGAAAGAGGACCCTAACAGTCAATGGGCTAGCAAATTTTTTTCTGCCAAGGGCCAGACAGTAAAAATTTAAGGCTTGATAGGCCATATGGATATCTGTCACAACTACTCCACTGCTGTAGCACAAAAGCAATCATAAATACTATGTAAATGGATGGGGCATGACTGTGTTCCAATAAACTTTATAAATACAGTGGCAGGCTAGACTTGGCCTACAGGGCGTAGTTTGTCAATCCCTGATCTAGCTAATGGCAAAACTCCAAATCAATTGTATACCTCAAACCCTTCTAGATTGCTGTGTCTTGCAACTAAGCCCAATGAATAATATGAACCACAGTGGTAAGAAAAGAAAAAAGGGGCAATAAAACAACATGTTGAAAAATCTCACTTTCCCCTCATCGATTTCATTTCTCTGCCAATCACATCAAATAGATTTTAGCCTATAATCCTGGACACTGTGGTACCCAACTACTATATCCATTTGATGGACGTTTCCCTAGTTTAGAAGTTGGCTCAAGGTTAAAGCATTGGTTGAATAACCCAGGCAGTTAGCTAACTCTATCAGAATATTCACATCCTGCCTTCAAACCTGCACTAGAGCCACTTGGCTGCACTGGCAAAAGAAGGAAGGATGGATGGATGAATGGAAAGAAAGCAGGAAGAAAACCCCAATTCCAGTCGGTTTAGGTTATATCTTCATCTCTTATCTAATATCTTTATTAAACTATGATCTACCATGAAAAGAGACTTCTCATTCTAACTGCACAACCTCACCTTCCCAACAACTCTCTTATTCCCACCACCAACTAGATGTTCTTTTTCTCCTTTATTAAGAGCATTTCCTAGGTTTTATCCACCCTTACAAACTTTCAGAATTCCAAACCATCTGACCTCTTAGAGGCACAACTCTATTATTGATCTTTTGAAAACAATCAGATAAAAGTTGAAGGAGCAAAAGTGTCAGACAGTCCAAGGCATTTCAACCCTGTAGTTTCCTGTACTCAAAACAACTTAAGAAGGGTTCACTCTTAGGAAAGATTTCCTTCCCTCCACTAAAATCCATGTCTCCACTCTCCTTGGGGGAGGAGAACCTCAGGTGATATAACAAAAATAGCTTCACCTTCAATTTGGCTCCTTACCATTAGCTAAGTCTGTTTTGCCATCTGTGCTGCTCCCTTTTCTGGACATCTTGATTGATGTTTATTGTAGCCAGCCTGGATTTGGAAGGGGGAAAAATAACAATTAGAAAACAATCTTGTAAAGACGATAAAACGAAGGAGATTTTTTAACAATGGACACCTTTGTCATTTTTATAAAAATGATTTTTTTTTTTGGTGTGTGCTCAATAGGGCTTCTCAGCTACTGAAATCACACCAGATTTTCCCCCTATGCCTAAATTCATAAAGAGACATATCTTTGGGAAGTCAACTGCAATCTCTTGACCTTATTGAGTGACTGGCAGTGTATTTTTTCAGATGGGAAAGAGGGAAGTGAAATAAACTTGAAACTGTAGGCATATATTAAGTGATATCCTATATAATAAAAGCATAATATGCAAATCGACTGAACAGCTGAACAGCATAACGACCATCTGGACCATCCAGGACCACACTCTGACACCCACTGGTGCCAGGCCAGCCAAGGCAGGTGCGATGAGATTGGTCCAGCCCAGCCATCGCCCCATGATCGCCCCACAGAAGGAGCCCAGGCCACCAACTGGCAGGCTGCGGTGGGTGGGCAGGGCCTCCCTCTGCGAGGAAAGCCCGGGTCCAGTGGCCAGTCCCAGCAGCCAGGGAAAGGAAGGCCTACTCTTGCACAAATTTCATGCATCGGGTCTCTAGTATTGAAGCATCCATCTTATATAAAAACTGCTGTTTGAAATTTTAACCCTGCTATTTCTGGCGGAAGGGAGAGGGAGAGACACAGAGAGAGAAACATCGATGTGAGAAAGAAACATCAATTGGTTGCCTCCCGCTTAGCCCCAACCAGGGTTGGGGGATCGAGCCTGCAATGTTCCCTTGACCAGAATCAAACTTGGGACTCTTCAATCCATGGGCTGATGCTCTATCCACTGAGCCAAACCAGCTAGGGCTTTTCTGGTATTTTTTACACTTTATGTTTTTGATAGTCTTGCTTAATGATTTCGGGTGACCAAACATGCCTTCAGAGCATTCTCTCTCCTACTTCTGACTTTACGTGTGTTGTGACCATGTTCCTTATAATCTCAAAAAAAAAAAAAGGGAAAAACCTTATAAAAATAAAAGCAAAAACAACAAATCTTATTCCAAGCATTCAAAAAAAAAGAACTTGCAAAGGGAACCGGAAAAACCCCATATTGGGGATACCAAGAGGGTGAGATAGTATAAATACAGGAAACTTCCTGTGTGATTGCACCCAGAATTTGAGAGACATGTTCTTCTGGGCCCGCGCGTAATAAACGTAACTCCATCTCTCTAAGCGTTGCTTGGTTCTTCTCCGGTTTTTCTGTAACAGTATATTATAAGCAGAGAGCCTTAACTCAATACAAAGAGCTAGCTTTAGCATTGCCCTCTAGGCAAAAATCTTGTTATAAATGTTAGACTTATGTATCTACAAACTCTATACTACACTGTCTTCACAACATGAAGAGGTGGGTCAGACTCTTTATATAATTTTGGACACTAACCAAGAGATGAAAGCGCCTGGCTGGTGTGGGTCAATGGTTGAGTGTTAACCCATGCACCAAGGGGCCACTGATTCAATTCCTAGTCAGGGCACATGCCCAGGTTGCAGGCTCGAATCCCAAGGGGAGGCGGGGGATAACTTAAGAAGGGTTCACTCTTAGGAAAGATTTCCTTCCCTCCACTAAAATCCATGTCTCCACTCTCCTTGGGGGAGGAGAACCTCAGGTGATATAACAAAAATAGCTTCACCTTCAATTTGGCTCCTTACCATTAGCTAAGTCTGGTTTTGCCACTGTGCTGCTCCCTTTTCTGGACATCTTGATTGATGTTTATTGTAGCCAGCCTGGATTTGGAAGGGGGAAAAATAACAATTAGAAAACAATCTTGTAAAGACGATAAAACGAACAAGGAGATTTAACAATGGACACCTTTGTCATTTTTATAAAAATGATTTTTTTTTTTGGTGTGTGCTCAATAGGGCTTCTCAGCTACTGAAATCACACCAGATTTTCCCCCTATGCCTAAATTCATAAAGAGACATATCTTTGGGAAGTCAACTGCAATCTCTTGACCTTATTGAGTGACTGGCAGTGTATTTTTTCAGATGGGAAAGAGGGAAGTGAAATAAACTTGAAACTGTAGGCATATATTAAGTGATATCCTATATAATAAAAGCATAATATGCAAATCGACTGAACAGCTGAACAGCATAACGACCATCTGGACCATCCAGGACCACACTCTGACACCCACTGGTGCCAGGCCAGCCAAGGCAGGTGCGATGAGATTGGTCCAGCCCGGCCATCGCCCCATGATCGCCCCACAGAAGGAGCCCAGGCCACCAACTGGCAGGCTGCGGTGGGTGGGCAGGGCCTCCCTCTGCGAGGAAAGCCCGGGTCCAGTGGCCAGTCCCAGCAGCCAGGGAAAGGAAGGCCTACTCTTGCACAAATTTCATGCATCGGGTCTCTAGTATTGAAGCATCCATCTTATATAAAAACTGCTGTTTGAAATTTTAACCCTGCTATTTCTGGCTTCTGTAAATGCTTGCTGGCTTAAATAGTAAGGAAAATAAGACTACTCCCATTTCAGAGAGGCCATTAAACCTTCCCCAGACGAAGTTATCAGTGCTGGCGTCAAGCCAAGCCTTTGGTCGAGGTCTCAGAGCGCCAGCACATTGGGCCCTTTAAGAACTTGCAAAGGGCCGCTTAGCCCCAACCAGGGTTGGGGGATCGAGCCTGCAATGTTCCCTTGACCAGAATCAAACTTGGGACTCTTCAATCCATGGGCTGATGCTCTATCCACTGAGCCAAACCAGCTAGGGCTTTTCTGGTATTTTTTACACTTTATGTTTTTGATAGTCTTGCTTAATGACCAAACATGCCTTCAGAGCATTCTCTCCCCTACTTCTGACTTTACGTGTGTTGTGACCTACTTCTGACTTTACGTGTGTTGTGACCTACTTCTGACTTTACGTGTGTTGTGACCTACTTCTGACTTTACGTGTGTTGTGACCTACTTCTGACTTTACGTGTGTTGTGACCTACTTCTGACTTTACGTGTGTTGTGACCTACTTCTGACTTTACGTGTGTTGTGACCTACTTCTGACTTTACGTGTGTTGCTCTCTCTCTCTTTCTCCCCCTTATAAGGACCATGTTCCTTATAATCTCAAAAAAAAAAAAAGGGAAAAACCTTATAAAAATAAAAGCAAAAACAACAAATCTTATTCCAAGCATTCAAAAAAAAAGAACTTGCAAAGGGAACCGGAAAAACCCCATATTGGGGATACCAAGAGGGTGAGATAGTATAAATACAGGAAACTTCCTGTGTGATTGCACCCAGAATTTGAGAGACATGTTCTTCTGGGCCCGCGCGTAATAAACGTAACTCCATCTCTCTAAGCGTTGCTTGGTTCTTCTCCGGTTTTTCTGTAACAGTATATTATAAGCAGAGAGCCTTAACTCAATACAAAGAGCTAGCTTTAGCATTGCCCTCTAGGCAAAAATCTTGTTATAAATGTTAGACTTATGTATCTACAAACTCTATACTACACTGTCTTCACAACATGAAGAGGTGGGTCAGACTCTTTATATAATTTTGGACACTAACCAAGAGATGAAAGCGCCTGGCTGGTGTGGGTCAATGGTTGAGTGTTAACCCATGCACCAAGGGGTCACTGATTCAATTCCTAGTCAGGGAACATGCCCAGGTTGCAGGCTCGAATCCCAAGGGGAGGCGGGGGATGAGGCAGCTGATCAATGATGTTTCTATCTCTCTCTCCCTCTCCCTTCCTCTCTCTCTAAAAATCAATTAAAAATGTTTTTGTTTGGTTTTTAAAAAGAGATAAAAGAAATCAAGCTCATGAGGTAGGGTAAGAACTTGGGCATTATGTTCACTCAGATGCCTACCTTCACACTTATAGGTGCAGGTACAGTATTAATTACTATAAGAAGCAGAGATGAGTTAGAACTCGGAGGCCCTCCCCTCCCCCCCTTCTAAGAAAGAATGTAAAAGGGTTTTTCCTCCTCTTACAACTAATGATAGTCACCAAATACAAAGCTGGGGAAGAAAAGGGCAACACTTGTATTAAACCATCTCAGTTCATTTCAAAACAAGCATCATTTCACAATCCCACCAACTTTCAACAGATTTGTCTTTTTAGCAAAATATAACTAGGAATCAGGGTGCCTAGCTTTTTTCCTTTTATACCACTGTAACACATTATTTTTTCAGGGTCTCACTCCCACCTCGAGCAAATTCCAAAGAGCAAAGAAAAGTATTATTCAGCCCAGAATTTTGTTAAGCCCTTTCAGTGCCTTGACAAAAGGCGATGGTAACAAAAGACAAAGTATGATTATGACTCCAGTCCTGTACCCAAGCACACTGGCCTCTAATCTTTCAACAGCCTTTTCATTCCCATAACAATGATCCCAGAGGCAGCCCCATCCTTAACCTTATCCCTATTATCCTCTATAGAAATCCAAGTTACTGCAAAAGTGTCCTCTGCCAAGAGACAGCTGCCCAAAGCTTGCTCATAGTAGGCCAGAGCGGGGAAGTGAAAATAATGCAAGAGCAGGACTGAAGCTGAATTTGAGGGAAGAACACCTGGAAGAGTGAGGCTGAAAGACAGAGCCAATAAAAAACAGATTTGTGAAGCCACAAAGGAAATAAGACACTCCCATTTCAGAGAGGCCATTAAACCTTCCCCAGACGAAGTTATCAGTGCTGGCGTCAAGCCAAGCCTTTGGTCGAGGTCTCAGAGCGCCAGCACATTGGGCCCTTTAAGAACTTGCAAAGGGCCGCTTAGCCCCAACCAGGGTTGGGGGATCGAGCCTGCAATGTTCCCTTGACCAGAATCAAACTTGGGACTCTTCAATCCATGGGCTGATGCTCTATCCACTGAGCCAAACCAGCTAGGGCTTTTCTGGTATTTTTTACACTTTATGTTTTTGATAGTCTTGCTTAATGACCAAACATGCCTTCAGAGCATTCTCTCCCCTACTTCTGACTTTACGTGTGTTGTGACCTACTTCTGACTTTACGTGTGTTGTGACCTACTTCTGACTTTACGTGTGTTGTGACCTACTTCTGACTTTACGTGTGTTGTGACCTACTTCTGACTTTACGTGTGTTGTGACCTACTTCTGACTTTACGTGTGTTGTGACCTACTTCTGACTTTACGTGTGTTGTGACCTACTTCTGACTTTACGTGTGTTGCTCTCTCTCTCTTTCTCCCCCTTATAAGGACCATGTTCCTTATAATCTCAAAAAAAAAAAAAGGGAAAAACCTTATAAAAATAAAAGCAAAAACAACAAATCTTATTCCAAGCATTCAAAAAAAAAGAACTTGCAAAGGGAACCGGAAAAACCCCATATTGGGGATACCAAGAGGGTGAGATAGTATAAATACAGGAAACTTCCTGTGTGATTGCACCCAGAATTTGAGAGACATGTTCTTCTGGGCCCGCGCGTAATAAACGTAACTCCATCTCTCTAAGCGTTGCTTGGTTCTTCTCCGGTTTTTCTGTAACAGTATATTATAAGCAGAGAGCCTTAACTCAATACAAAGAGCTAGCTTTAGCATTGCCCTCTAGGCAAAAATCTTGTTATAAATGTTAGACTTATGTATCTACAAACTCTATACTACACTGTCTTCACAACATGAAGAGGTGGGTCAGACTCTTTATATAATTTTGGACACTAACCAAGAGATGAAAGCGCCTGGCTGGTGTGGGTCAATGGTTGAGTGTTAACCCATGCACCAAGGGGTCACTGATTCAATTCCTAGTCAGGGAACATGCCCAGGTTGCAGGCTCGAATCCCAAGGGGAGGCGGGGGATGAGGCAGCTGATCAATGATGTTTCTATCTCTCTCTCCCTCTCCCTTCCTCTCTCTCTAAAAATCAATTAAAAATGTTTTTGTTTGGTTTTTAAAAAGAGATAAAAGAAATCAAGCTCATGAGGTAGGGTAAGAACTTGGGCATTATGTTCACTCAGATGCCTACCTTCACACTTATAGGTGCAGGTACAGTATTAATTACTATAAGAAGCAGAGATGAGTTAGAACTCGGAGGCCCTCCCCTCCCCCCCTTCTAAGAAAGAATGTAAAAGGGTTTTTCCTCCTCTTACAACTAATGATAGTCACCAAATACAAAGCTGGGGAAGAAAAGGGCAACACTTGTATTAAACCATCTCAGTTCATTTCAAAACAAGCATCATTTCACAATCCCACCAACTTTCAACAGATTTGTCTTTTTAGCAAAATATAACTAGGAATCAGGGTGCCTAGCTTTTTTCCTTTTATACCACTGTAACACATTATTTTTTCAGGGTCTCACTCCCACCTCGAGCAAATTCCAAAGAGCAAAGAAAAGTATTATTCAGCCCAGAATTTTGTTAAGCCCTTTCAGTGCCTTGACAAAAGGCGATGGTAACAAAAGACAAAGTATGATTATGACTCCAGTCCTGTACCCAAGCACACTGGCCTCTAATCTTTCAACAGCCTTTTCATTCCCATAACAATGATCCCAGAGGCAGCCCCATCCTTAACCTTATCCCTATTATCCTCTATAGAAATCCAAGTTACTGCAAAAGTGTCCTCTGCCAAGAGACAGCTGCCCAAAGCTTGCTCATAGCAGGCCAGAGCGGGGAAGTGAAAATAATGCAAGAGCAGGACTGAAGCTGAATTTGAGGGAAGAACACCTGGAAGAGTGAGGCTGAAAGACAGAGCCAATAAAAAACAGATTTGTGAAGCCACAAAGGAAAAACAGTGGAGAGCTGTTTGCAGAGCAGGCTGTTTCCTCCTCCTACTTGGATGACATATTTTTGTACAGCATTCTTCACA